GCTGGACGCCGCCAGACAGTATTTCGAGGGGCGCGGGCTGACGCCCGCGCGCGTAGCCTTGGAGACTAGAGCCAGGAACGCGGATCGAATACGCCACCTTTGGCACTGCGCCTGCGTGCACTTGATGGCCCCTGATCGCTCTGTCGAGCTGCGCGCGTTCCTGCGCGTGCGACTCTCGAGGTGGGCGCGCGGCCTCCCAGAGGACGTCATGTTGGACCGGAGTCATGCCCGCGTTCCCCGCGGTGGCTCGGCTGTGCCCCCCGCAAGCGCTCGCTGCCTACATAAGGACCCTGTGGAACGGCTGGGCCACGGGCCGCCGCTTCCAGAGGCGCGCCAGTTGTTTTTTAGGATGCACGCAGACTGCCCGCGTGTGTCCGCAGCCGTATACCGCGAGCTGGGGCTCGCGCGTCCAGACACGACAGAACTGCGGCTGGCCAGTTTCATGTTGATGACCCCGCCGTGCTCCGAGGCGACCGCCCCGGATCTGCGCCGCCGAGCTCTGGCTACGTGCGGCGTGTATCTCACGCGCTGCTGGACCAGCCACGAAGTCTCCGGCGGGGCACTCGCGTGCCGCAGCGCTCTCAGGCTTAAGCTTCGGGAGTTCGCCGGAGGATCGTAGTCCCCTTCTCTTCCTTCCCCCCCCCACCCTCGACCCCTCGTGTACGCCCCCCTCATCGGCCACGCGGCCGGGGTAGCAGGTGGCGCCTTGGCCCGGGGGGGCAGGATTTGTCCCCTGCCGCGTGGCCGCACCAGTCCGTCGGCGCGGCTGGCAGCGCACTCGCGCCAGCCACGCGCCTCCCCCTGTGGGCCCCACGCCTTGGGTGGTGCGGGGGGCCGCTCCTCACCCTTCCCGCTCTCTCTATATCCCCTTCTCTTGTCCTCGCCCTGGCCTCTCCTCCTGCCCTCGCCTCCCTCCCTCCGCTCCCCCCCGCCGCCGTCGTCGTCATCGGTTGGTCTTGCCGCCGTGGTCGTCTCGTCGCCGTCGGCGCCCTCGGTGTCGTCGTTGCGGTCGTCTCGTCGCCGTCGTCGTCAGTGGGGGGCGGTCCCTTGCTCGCCCCGAGGCTTGCGGCCCCCCGCGGGGTTGGCGCCCGAGATTGTCACAGCGGCTGCATGGTGGCTGAGTCGATGGCCGGTGCTTGGCTACACTGCAGGCGTGCACGTCGAGGCATGTATTTGCTTCTTCTTTCTTCTCCTTTTCTTCCCTCCTCCTCTCCCTCCTCCCTCCCCCAGGGACGTGTGGTGCCAGTTTGTCAGTCCAGGCCAGCGGGCCTGAAGCTGTCCCGGCCGAGCGGCCGATGGACAGTGGGAGGGGGTCTGTCCTGGACTCGGACGTCCCCCAAGGGTGGACGCCGGCGTGCCGCCCGATTTGGGGGAGGGCATCCCGTCGATTTATTCCGGGTTTGTTTCGACCACGTTCGCGCGACAAAGTGTCGGCCAAGCTTTTCCCCTCCCCTCCGTCCCCCCCTCTTTCGCCTCCCTTTGCCCTCCTCCTCTCCCGGGGTCGTGGCACGGAGAGCGCCGGGGTGGCCGCGTGAAGAATTGGCGGTTGCGCCGGCTGCACGCGGGGGTGGGCCACCGACGTGCCGCCTGGACTTGTCGGCCGCTCTCTCCAGGGAGCCGTTGCTAGCTCG